TAGTACAAGCACATTAGTAATTGAGTTTATATTATACATAGGCCATCACCTGTATTCTAGCATTGCCACCTTCCTTTCCCGGTTTCATACCATAAAATATAGAGTAGTATGTGATGGCCTACGTGCTCAGGCATGATTAAAAGTGTTGTGAAGTATACAGTTGTAATCAAAATTATTCAACGCCAATTGAAAATGAGGTTTCTTGTCAAAATTTACAGACTTTCAGCTGTTTGCAATGAGCAATAAAACAAAAACACATTTTAAAAAAATGTTTGGATAAGGATACAGAATCCATTAGTATCCTCAACCTTTCGCTCCGTATTGTAAGCACGGCTCGTTCCCTTATTTACCACCATAACATCTTAAAGCATACAACTTAGCAGGGCTAACCACACAGATATCTGAACCATAATTTTATATAGTTAGTAAGAGAGTCTCTATTTCACATATATAAATAATTGAGAATACAATATAAAATAAGGATTGTCTTGGAAGCAAAAAAGTTTTGTCTTTTAGATATTTATTATATAAAAATATAAATATAGACATATAAAATCCATTACAATAATTTATAGCAGAGTTTATAAGAATAAACTAATGCTTACAAATATCAAGAATAGATTAACATACCCTCCTGAACATGTAATCATGTCAGCCTCTCTGTCATTTTAAGATGAAGAAGCGTCTGTCTCCAAATCTCTCCTCTGTCTGTGCCTTAACATTTAAAAGTACACCTATTTATACCTTAGGTGTCTTCATTTTAGGGTTACCGTAGTTCAAAAATGAAAAAGTAACTTCTTTTACTTTTATTCATTTAAGGACCTCCCTTAACTTGGCAAAAATACAAGGCCATAACTAAAGGATGTACACATCATGGAAATTTCCCTTAGGTTTACCACAGTGTATTTTGTACTGAAAGAGTCGTAGCATAGCCTTGAAGCTTGGTTATGCATTATTGTTATTGTATTTCATCTGGGACAAAATGACGGTAAGTAAGAGGTTATTGCTTAAAGAAACATGTATGAAAAACAATATGTTCAATTTCTTGTCAGTTTGTAATATCTCTTAAAGACAAAGTACACAGTTTGAGGAATACAATATTTCATTATAAAACTTGTAATATTTGCATTTGCCCATAACAGTATTCTGAATAAAGAGGAATTGCAACTACTCCAGAAGGGCCTTAGGTTTGGCCCAAATTTTGAGAATTCGACATTCAACATGTATATCGATCTCCACAAATATGTCATAAAATTGGCGGTTAAAAGGTTCTTTTTGGAGAACAAATATATTTTGAGTAAATCAATATCCCTTATAAGCATACGGATCTACATCCAAAATCGGTCATTTATCCCCAAGAGTCCAAAAGTGACCATATTAGGGTCTTTGAAATGAAAATGGAGAAGGATTTAAGATTTATAGAAACCAAGTCAAGATCAAAAGATAACTTGACAAGGAAAGAAAGGAGGGCCTAAAGAGCCTAATGGAGGATAGCAAAACCATGATTAGGGCAGCTGAAAAAAAAGGGAGGATTTGTGGTTACGACTCTATGCGACTATGAGATGAAAAGTCGAATCTTTCCAAGTATGTTGATAAGTTCTTACAGAAACCAGTGGCACAATCTTATCTCAGAGATACCACCCAAATTATAAAAATTCTGTCTACAGTAGAGTGGAAGAAGGAGTTTTTTCTGGTCATAGATGTGACGTCATTGTACACTGTGATTGATCATTGCAGAGATGTGAGGCAGTCCAGTATGCCAAAGCCATGCACACATATCTGAAAAATTACCAAATAGGTTTTGTAGCATTTATACTCAGTCATATTTTTTTCTATGTGAATGATAACTTTTATTTACAGATTCAGGGGACATCCTTGGGCACCAGATTTGCACCAAGTTACTCCAATTTGTTTATGGGAAAATGGGAAGATGAATTTATTTGAATGGATTCCCCTTTTGGTGCAAGTCTGGTACTCTGGCAAAGATACATAGATGATTGTATTTTTATTTGGAGTGGAAATGCTGCATCATTGGGTGAATTTAACAATTACCTCAATCATAATCCCTACAATTTACATTTCACATTCAATCAATCGCAAGAAATAGTGGAGTTTTTAGACCTGGAAATATATATAAAAGAAAGGGAAATACATACCAAGACTTTTAAGAAAACAGTGGACTGTAACAGCTTCATTCCGGCCAATAGTTATCATAAGAAGACTTGGCTCAATAATATACCCTATCGTTCATTTAGGAGAATTAAATGGAATTGCTCAGAGCTGGAAGTAGCCAAAATTCAGACGGAAGAGATGAAGAATCGATTCCTGATAAAGGGATACCCCAAAGACCTACTGGGCAAGGCATTTACTTGGGCTTTGGCGTTGCCAAGGGAGATGATGCTGGAGACTAAATCACAAGATAGAAAATTTTCTGTGGAAATCCCGGCCTTTATAACTTAGTACAGTAACCAGGCATACAAGATACAGAACATTTTACATAAGAATTGGAATATCTTAAAAGGGGATCCAATATTAGATTTTTTTAGGGGAGAAACCTAGAATAATTTATTCCAGAGCCCCCAATCTTAAATCGATGTTAGCCGGTAAAAGGAAATGGGAAGAAAAAGACAGAAACAGAAAGATGTGGATTTAGGAAATGTGATAAAGGATGCACTAATAATATGGCACAGGAATCTTAGATTAAGGAATTTTCCCATAAAGAAACCAAAGAAAGATTTTTGATCAAATCAGCACTGGATTGCATCTAAAGGGGAGTAATTTATTTATTTATTTGCCAATGTAATAAACAAAGACAAAGAGACAATTTAAAACCACATTGGGAGAATATATCAGAAACATTAAAAAAGGGCTCTAAAGCCATAACCTATCTAGACATTTTGATCTGTGTCACTCTAAAAATCCAGAAGGCCTTAAATTCATGGCAACAGAGAAAGTCGATGTCCATTGGAGAGGAGGCAATTTGGAGAAAGAATTGGACAAAATAGAAGCCAAATGGATTTTTCATTTAGACACTTTGGAACCAAAAGGGTAAAATTTAGACTTTGAACTTAATGCATTTCTTTAAACTACTAGTTCTGATTAATGGCAGCATCAAATTTTCCCTCAATAGGTCTTATGGTTTTATTAGTTTTTGTATCGTCTACTATACAAGATATTTTATTATCACCATAACCACACACAAGAAGGATTTGGGAATTGTTATAGACAACAAATTAGGCAGCAATATGCAATGTCAATCTGCAGTTGCTAAGGCCAGTAAGGTTTTGTCATGTATAAATAGGGGCATAAATTCTTGAGATGAAAATATAATTTTGCCTCTTTATAAATCGCTGGTAAGACCACACCTTGAATATGCTGTGCAATTTTGGGCACCTGTTCTAAAGAAAGATATGATGGCACTAGAAAAAGTGCAGAGACCAGCTACAAAATTGATAAAAGGAATTGAGCATTTTAGTTAGGAAGAAAGGTTAAAAATTTTAATCTGTTTAGTTTGGAAAAACGACACCTGAGATGGGATATGATAACAATATACAAATATATTCGGGGCCAGTACAAACCTTTATCTGGAAATCTATTCATAAACAGGGCTATCCATAGGACACAAGGTCACACATTTAGGCTGGAAGAAAGGAGATTTCATCTAAGGCAAAAAAAGTTTTTTTTACAGTAAGGTTTCGTCAGAGTGTATACAGATGTTTAAACTGCAATTGGATAAATACTTGCAAAAACATAACATACAGGGAAATAATTTATAATTAGTGTGGTAATAGCTGCTTGATCCAAGGAGACATCTGACTGCTATTTTGGGGTCAAGAAGGAATTTTTTCCTAGTTTGTTGCAAAATTAGAAGCGCTTCAGACTAGGTTTTTTGCCTTTTGGATCAACAGCAAAAACATATGTGAGGAAGGCTGAACTTGATGGACGCAAGCATAGGCGTGCGCAGCCTATTGCATTAGGGTGTGCACCCTAAAGCACAAGCACACGCCGCATATATATATGTATGTATGTATATATATATATATATATATATATATACACACACACACATATATACACACATACACACACTGCTGTGTGTGTGTGTGTGCTGTGTGAGGGTGCTGTTAGTGTGATGTGTGTGTGACGATGATGGTAGTGTGCTATGTGGGTGAGGGTGTTTGTGTGTGCGTGCTTGTGAGGATGCTGTTAATGTACTGTGTGTGAGGGTGCTGTTTGTGTGTGTGTGCGCTTGTGAGGGTGCTGTTAATGTACTGTGTGTGAGGGTGCTTTTTGTGTGTGAGGGTACTGGTAGTGTGCTGTGTGTGTGTTTGTTAGGGTCCTGTTTGTGTTTGTGAGGGTACTGTTAGTGTGCTGTGTGTGTGTGAGGGTGCTGTTTGTGTGCTGTGTGTGAGGGTGCTGTGTGTGTTTGTGAGGGTACTGTATGTGTGTGTGGGTGCTGTATGTGTGTTGGTGCTGTGTATGTCTGTGGGTGCTGTATGTGTGTGGGTGCTGTGTATGTCTGTGAGTGCTGTGTGTGTCTGTGGGTGCTGTATGTGTGTGGGTGCTGTGTATGTCTGTTGGTGCTGTGTATGGGTGCGTGCTGTGTATGTCTGTGGGTGCTGTGTATGTTTGTGGGTGCTGTATGTCTGTGGATGCTGAATGTATGTGGGTGCTGAATGTGTGTGGGTGCTGTGTATGTCTGTGGGTGCTGTATGTGTGTGGGATGTCTGTGGGTGCTGTGTATGTCTGTGGGTGCTGGATGTCTGTGGGTTCTGTATGTGTGGTCTGTGGTGCTGTATGTCTGTGGGTGTGTATGTCTGTGGGTGCTGTGTATGTCTGTGGGTGCTGTAATGTGTGTGGGTGCTGTGTATGTTTGTGGGTGCTGAATGTATGTGGGTGCTGAATGTGTGGGTGCTGTGTATGTCTGTGGGTGCTGTATGTGTGTGGGTGCTGTGTATGTCTGTGGGTGCTGTGTATGTCTGTGGGTGCTGGATGTCTGTGGGTTCTGTGTATGTCTGTGGGTGCTGTGTATGTCTGTGGGTGCTGTGTATGTCTGTGGGTGCTGTGTGTCTGTGGGTGCTGTATGTCTGTGGGTGCTGTATGTCTGTGGGTGCTGAATGTGTGTGGGTGCTGTGTATGTCTGTGGGTGCTGTGTATGTCTGTGGGTGCAGTATGTGTGTGGGTGCTGTGTGGGTGCTGTATGTCTGTGGGTGCTGTGCATGTCTGTGGGTGCTGAATGTGTGTGGGTGCTGTGTATGTCTGTGGGTGCTGAATGTGTGTGGGTGCTGTATGTCTGTGGGTGCTGTGTATGTCTGTGAGTGCTGAATGTGTGTGGGTGCTGAATGTGTGTGGGTTCTGTGTATGTCTGTGGGTGCTGTGTATGTCTGTGGGTGCTGTATGTGTGTTGTATGTGTGTGGGTGGGTGATTGTGGGGGGTGGAGGTGGGGGTACATTATTTGCTATCCCCCCTCCCTTCTTACCTTTTGTCAAATAGAAGCATCTAATAGTGTGCTTACAGCCTAGTGGTAAAAATTCTAAATTTCTGGGTGCTAATCTGCTAAATAGTACATTTTGGGGCGTGTATTTCATATCTGAGAGTCAAATAGAAGTGTCTAATAGTGTGCTTACAGCGCAGTTGCAAACATTCTAATTGTTTTGCTGCTATTCTGCTAAATAGTACATTTTGGGGCCCGCTCTTCATATCTGAGAGTCAAATAGAAGCGTCTAATAGTGTGCTTACAGCTCTGTGGTAAACATGCTAATTGTTTTGCTGCTAATCTGCTAAATAGTGCATTTTGGGGCCTGCTCTTCATATCTGAGAGTCAAATAGAAGCGTCTAATAGTGTGCTTACAGCGCTGTGGTAAACATGCTAATTGTTTTGCTGCTAATCTGCTAAATAGTACATTTTGGGGCCTGCTCTTCATATCTGAGAGTCAAATCAAAGTGTCTGATAGTTTGCTTACAGCACAGTGGTAAACATTTTTATTTTCTGGGTACTCTATCTGCTAAATAGTACATTTTGGGTCCTGCTCTTCATATCTGAGAGTCAAATAGAAGCATCTAATAGTTTGCTTACAGCGCAGTTGCAAACATTCTAATTGTTTTGCTGCTATTCTGCTAAATAGTACATTTTGGGGCCCGCTCTTCATATCTGAGAGTCAAATAGAAGCGTCTAATAGTGTGCTTACAGCGCTGTGGTAAACATGCTAATTGTTTTGCTGCTAATCTGCTAAATAGTACATTTTGGGGCCTGCTCTTCATATCTGAGAGTCAAATCAAAGTGTCTAATAGTTTGCTTACAGCACAGAGGTAAACATTTTTATTTTCTAGGTACTCTATCTGCTAAATAGTACATTTTGGGTCCTGCTCTTCATATCTGAGAGTCAAATAGAAGCATCTAATAGTTTGCTTACAGCGCAGTGGTAAACATTTTTATTTTCTGGGTACTATATCTGCTAAATAGTACATTTTGGGGCCTGCTCTTCATATCTGAGAGTCAAATAGAAGCGTCTAATAGTGTGCTTACAGCGCTGTGGTAAACATGCTAATTGTTTTGCTGCTAATCTGCTAAATAGTAAATTTTGGGGCCTGCTCTTCATATCTGAGTGTCAAATAAAAGCGTCTAATAGTGTGCTTACAGCGCAGTGGTAAACATGCTAATTGTTTTTCTGCTAATCTGCTAAATAGTACATTTTGGGGCCTGCTCTTCATATCTGAGAGTCAAATAGAAGCGTCTAATAATGTGCTTACAGCGCGGTGGTAAACATTCTAATTGTTTTGCTGCTAATCTGCTAAATAGTACATTTTGGGGCGTGCTCTTCATATCTAAGAGTCAAATAGAAGCTTTTAATACTGTTCTTACAGCGCAGTGGTAAACATTCTAATTGTTTTGATGCTAATCTGCTAAATAACCTAAGGTTCACGATGGAGATTGGTGGTTCAACTCTGAATTTTTCTTGAATGCACTTTCAGAATCTCCAATGATCTGGGGATTGAGACCACTCTCTATAGCAAACCCACCTCGACCAATACTATGTTGAGGTGGGAGAGTTACCATCCTACCACACTGAAGAAGGGCATCCCGGTCGAACAGTACCTTCGTTTATGGAGGAACTGCTCAACCATGGAGGAATTCATTGATCAGGCCAAGCTCCTTAGAACTAGGTTCAAGGAGAGGGGATACCCCAATCGTTGCCTCAAGCATGCGTACCAGAAGGCTCTTCTGAGTGATAGAATGGAACTTTTAAAAGATAAGGAGGCACCAATTAAACAAGAACCCATCCATTGTATAGCTATATTTGATTCAGGGTGTGATCAGGCCAAACGGATATTGGGTAGGTCTTGGCCTCTTATATCCCAAGATCCCCAGCTTAAGGGAATAGTGACTCCCTTTGTTTCCCTCACAGCACGAAGAGGTAAAAATCTGAAAGAGGTTCTGGTTCCCAGCCATCTATCAACTAAAAAGGTTACCAAAAATTGGCTCTCCATGCAAGGCACCTACCAATGTGGCAGGTGCGTGGCATGTCAGTACATGATGAAAGACTCCAAAATCCTTACGGATTCAAGGGATAATCTAGTGTGTCGAGTTACACTATTTTTTAATTGTAATACCAAGGGGGTGATATATCTTCTGATGTGTGTATGTGGTCTTAGATATGTGGGGAAAACCATTCGCCCCTTTAAGAGGAGAGTTATGGAGCACATAGACTCAGTCAGAAATTTCAGGGATACCCCGGTGTCAAGACACATCAGGAGTGATCATCATGGTGACACAGGAGGGATTAAGTTTGCAGGGATCGAAAAGGTGCAGTTGGGCCGTAGAGGAGGTGATTTAGATCGAACCCTCCTCAAAGGAGAATGTTTTTGGATTTATAGATTTAATACTCTGGCCCCCAATGGACTAAATGAGAGATTTACGTTTACTCCCTTTATCGACAAATGAGTTACACAAGAAGCAGTATTTATTAACATCTCAGTTAATGCAACATTACTTAATTTGTATATATTATTCTTGTAAATACTTTCGTTTTGTGTTTTATTAATTTCTTGATCAATATGGATTTCAGTGGTTCTATTCTTGTCATTACATATGACACACAATAGTGTCACTGTAACATTGATACATTCTAATATCATGTTAAGTATGTAATATATGGCTCATCCCACTGGAAATCAGCAGGATATTCATGGTTTCAGCCAGTGGACTTTGCCGCAAATAGTTGATATATGTTCCTCGTACAATAGAGAGTTATATTACCACCCTCACTATGCCTGCCATCCTTTGATTATTATTATAATTATTGTAAATCTAGATTGGCTGGAAATAGGGAGTTTGCACATAACTGTCCGCTTATCAGGTAAGTTCAGGGGACATAGAGAAAATATTTGCCATATGTTTTTCCAACCATGTGAGGGATAGGATTTGCAGGGTTTGTGTATATATCCATGCCTAAATTCTATGGCAATGGACATTAAGCCTTTTTTATATTCACATTTGGGCTACAATTTTGTCCCCCTATTTCGTTATGACAGGGGGCACTGAGCACGTAAGTGGCATATGATTCACTTGACAAGTGTGTGCAAGTAGTATGCCACAATGTTAGATAACGAGCTTCCTTTTTGTTTTTGTTTCGTTTGGTGGAAAATACTTTGGTAGATTCTCTATGTACATTTTGGTTTGTAATCTTGACTATGACAAACAAGGGGTTAACACTTATTGAATGCCCTACCAATCATACAGTGACACGTATACAAGTGGGCGGGACCTGCTCGAACGCCGGTTTTGGCGCGAACAGGATTCACACGCCCTCTCAATCTTTTTGGCTCAGTCTGTGTATAAATAAGCAGGGTCCGAGGTGGGCCACTGTTTTTCCTCTGATGAAGGCGCAATTAGTAGCGCCGAAACGCGCGTTAGGCAGTTCAGGAGAGGGAGCAGACAGTGAAATCTTTTATAGCAGCCATTACTATTTAGCAACTTTAACCTGGGGCTTCTGATGTTTTGGGGGAGCCTCATTGTTTCTATTCTGCACCAGTAGCATTACTTGCCTTATTTTCCCGTATCCTTAGATAAATCATGTTTGAATAGTATAGCTGTATTGTAGGGATTACATCTGTGAGGGATAAATTGTTTCGCTGCAATATATTTTGTAGCAATTTTGTCTCCACTTTATGAACTAGAATTTGCAGTGTTACTCTTCCCTATCGATAGCAGATCCACCTACTGTCCTTACTTTATTATCTCCAATATTACATCTAGATACAAGCATTTCATGCAACTGTATACTAGGAGTTTTTGTATTTTTAGGACAGTGGTTTATGAGTTGTTTCCCCCTCTTACATTTGGTAGGTTCCTACAGAAGGTTTTTCTGACTCATTCATGTGGGTATTTTATATATACCTTTCCTATCTCTTACCTACACCCCTCATCTTAGCCCTATAGGGTTTCCCGGTTATATGCAACCTTATATGTTACGGTAAGGGTGTCAGACGCTGCAATTCTAGTAAGTTTACCAATATCACTAGGCGATCTTAGTGGTCTTATTACTGCAATATAATATATATCCTTTACCTGACACTCTGCTTGATAGTTGTCTGCACCCTCTTCCTCCATTTTAATTAAGTGTATTGTTATTTTGTATTTACGATATTTCATTGTATATTTCATTAAAGGTTAAGATTTAGCATCAATCTAGGTAGGGGTTTCCTAGTCAGTTGACCCTGTGGGGGGAGGGGGTGATCCCTCTTTTTCCCCTAGGTCTTCCCCTTTGTTTTTCTTTTCACAATCTACTAAATAGTAAATTTTGGGGCCTGCTCTTCATATCTGAGAGTCAAATCGAAGCGTAACTTTGATTCGAATTTACTACATCGGTCACTTGTAATATTGTTTCACACCTACAACACTTGTTACACAGATCTAAGTGATAGAAAACAGATTGATATTTTCTACACTAGAAACTACCAGATAACATGCTGTTATATTTAAACCAGTTATCAATAGCTAAGAGGTACTTTAACAATATTATAATTCTGGGGCAATACCCTCACAAGTCAAACTGAGAGGTCAGTTTATAGGGAAAACTGTTGCCTGGATACAATTCTAAAACAATTTCCATATGTCCTTTGCAGACTTTACATGCTGGAAAAACACAGGTGCCAACTGCTGTGGCTTTCTGCAGTGTGCATACCGGCAAGGAGGGCAGGGTTGAGGAGTGGGTGGAAGATGATGTGGAGGATGATGAGGTTCTAGACCCCACATGGAATCAAGGTCATGCGAGTGATGTGTCCAGTTTGGAGGAAGAGGCGCTGGTCGAACAGAGGCACCAGCACAGCATAAGAGGGAGCAGGGTGCAAAAGCGGAGCAGCCATCCCCAAGAGCTCGTTGGCATGTATTAGCTCGAGAATTACCAGTTATCCAAGTAATACATGTAGCGATCAAAGGATCCATAATAGAGTTGAGCGAACCCGAACTGCAGATTTAACTATCCATTCGTAGTTTCACAGTCAGGTGGGAAGTCCAGTGACCAGGACCCAAACACTGTCTGGGCGGCGGTCGGACGACCGGGACCCAGTATGCCTGATGTTGAAGTTAGGAGTCACAGTGTGGAATGGATTAGCAGGGTCTGGTGCAGGGTAACCGCACGCCCCCTGGTGTTGAGCACCAGCGTTTGTGCAGCCACATACCAGGACCCTGATGGAGCTTCAGTAAAAAGATTACTGGATACCAGAAGCCATCACCAGACTGAATCGCAACTTGGAACAGGATGTGGGATTCACTGTAGCAGCTGTGCGTGCTTTCGGCGTTCTCACCCTGCTGCTGCTCGCCTGTCTGCGCTGCAGAGTAACTTTGGCCTTCCCGCTCACTGCCTCATATGCGATGTGCCCACAAGGTGGAACTCCACCTTGCACATGCTGGAGAGACTGTTTGAGCAGCAGCAGGCGATAGTGGAGTTTCAGCTGCAGCACGCACAGGTCAGTGGCTCTGCACCAGACTTCCCTCCAATTGATCAGAGTTAAAGGATTTCAAGTGGACTCATTACAATTGCAGGGCCTCTAAAGAGTCCTGTATTGTTATTTGTCGTCACTACCTTCCCGCGTCGGGAGTGGGTCATTTGCACACCTGCTGCCTTCCTTGAATGTGGTAGCCGTTTCTCAGGGTCCCTGTATGGAATGGAACCCTGATTACCCGTTACCCGTGGTCACCATGGTAGGCGCAGTCAATGGCTTCGAAAGTTGATATGGATTAGAAACATAGAAACATAGAATGTGACGGCAGATAAGAACCATTTGGCCCATCTAGTCTGCCCAATTTTCTAAATACTGTCATTAGTCCCTAGTCTTATCTTATAGTTAGGATAGCCTTATGCCTATCCCACGCATGCTTAAACTCCTTTACTGTGTTAACCTCTACCACTTCAGCTGGAAGGCTATTCCATGCATCCACTACCCTCTCAGTAAAGTAATACTTCCTGATATTATTTTTAAACCTTTTGTCCCTCTAATTTAAGACTATGTCCTCTTGTTGTGGTAGTTTTTCTTCTTTTAAATATAGTCTCCTCCTTTACTGTGTTGATTCCCTTTATATATTTAAATGTTTCTATCATATCCCCCCTGTCTCGTCTTTCCTCCAAGCTATACATGTTAAGATCCTTTAACCTTTCCTGGTAAGTTTTATCCCACAATCCATGAACCAGTTTAGTAGCCCTTCTCTGAACCCTCTAAGGTATCAATATCCTTCTGAAGATACGGTCTCCAGTACTGTGTACAATACTCCAAGTGAGGTCTCACCAGTGTTCTGTACAATGGCATGAGCACTTCCCTCTTTCTACTGCTAATACCTCTCCCTATACAACCAAGCATTGACATACGAATGCATCGTTGCCTTCTCGTTGGGGAGCACATTGAAAAAGTGCTCTAGCATGACGAGCTGGGTGGTCTCCTCCTGGAACTTGGCCTGATGGAAGTTGAGTCAGTTCTGGGTGGCCCTTGTGTTGCCACAGCGTATACCCAGATATATCAGAGCTGCTGCAGAAAATGCAGGCCATCTGTGCGAGCTTTTGGCATTCTCACCCTGCTGCTGCTTGCCTGTCTGTGCTGCAGCGTAACTTCGGCCTTCCTGCTCACCGCCTCATGAGACTGTGCGAGCAACAGCAGGCGATAGTGGAGTTTCAGCTGCAGCAAGCACGGGTCAGTGGCTCTGCACCAGACTTCCCTCCAGCTGATCAGAGTTAAAGGATTTCAAGTGGACTCATTACAATTACAGGGCCTCTAAAGAGTCCTGTATTGTTATTTGTCGTCACTACCTTACCTCGTCGGGAGTGGGTCATTTGCGTGCCTGCTGCCTTCCTTGCGTGTGGTAGCCGTTTCTCAGGGTCCCTGTACGGAATGTAACCCTGATTCCCCGTTACCCATGGTCACCATGGTAGGTGCAGAAACTGGCATCGAAAGTTGATATGGATGACATTGAATGCAAAGTCGCCGTCACGGGGATGTGCGATTGGCCCAAGGTTCTCTAGAGTCAAAAAAGTGCCTGTGCAACTATAATGTCAACAGCTACTCTCCGGAACAGAGTTGTCTTTTTTTATATGTCCGAATATTATGGGGGCTACCCCAATAAAAAAAAAAAAAAAATATATATATATATATATATATATATATATATATAAATATATATATATATATATATATATAAATAAAAACAGGGTTGGCTACAAGCTCCGCCTCCACCGCCGCTTCCACCTACACCGCCATGGTCACCGTCTCCTCAACCTATGGGTCACTTAGTATAAACTATGTACACAATAGCAGAGGCTTGAGCTCAGTTTGAACAATGAAAGAGAATACCCTGCACCAGGGGCGTACCTAGAGCATTTGGCCCCCGGGGCGGATCCTGTGCTTGACACCCCCTCGCCCCCCCAAAAAAAAAAACTGTCAATTTTTTTAAATGTGTTCTTTTTTTTACAGTTCATAAACTTTTCAAAACCGCTGTCAGCCCCTCCTACAAAACCCTTGTCCTTCCCTGCCCCCTCCTTTAAAACCCCTGTCCTGCCCACTTCTACAAATCCTGTACTGCCCCATCTACAAAGCCCAGCAACTTCCTTCCACAAATTCCCTGCTTATACCCCCTTATAAAGACTCCTGTCCCAATACAAAACCCCTGCCCCCTTTTACAAAATCCCTGCAGACCCACACACACATTTATAGGCAGACAGTCACACACACAGTTACAGACATACAGTCACACGCACACAGTCGCTTGCAGACATACATGCACACAGTTACAGGCAGACAGTCACATTTACATTGACACACACAGCAGCAGCACACAGTCACAGACAGATAATCACGCACACATTTACAGGCAATATCAAACAGTCACAGACAGACAGTCACACATACATAGTCACATGCAGTCACACACACAGTTTTAGGCAGACAGTTACACACACAGTCCATTACATGTAGTCACAAACAGTCATAGCCAGACAGTCACGCACACAGTCACAGGCAATATCAAACAGTCACAGGCAGACAGTCACACATACATAGTCACATGCAGTCACACACACAGTTTTAGGCAGACAGTTACACACACAGTCCGTTACATGTAGTCACACACAGTCATAGCCAGACAGTCACGCACACAGTTACAGACAGACAGTCACATATACAGTCACTCACACACAGTCACAGGCAGAGAGTTGCACACACACTTACAGTTATAGACACACAGTCATATGCAGACAGTCACACATACAGTCACAGACAGTCATGCACACAGTTACAGGCAGACAGTCACATATACATTGACACACACGTGACAGCAGCAGACAGTCACAAGCACACAGTCACAGACAGATAGTCACACACACGGTTACAGGCAACATCAAACAGTCACAGGCAGACAGTCACACATACATAGTCACATGAAGTCACACACACGGTTTTAGGCAGACAGTTACACACACAGTCAGTTACAGGTAGTCACACACAGTCATAGCCAGACAGTCACACACACAGTTACAGACAGACAGTCACATATAGAGTCACTCACACACAGTCACAGGCAGAGAGTTACACACACACACACACACACACACTTACAGGCAGACACATACACACACATACATACACACAAAGTTACAGGCAGACAGTCTCACACACACACACACACACATACACAGTTACCGACAGTTTTACACACACACACATACATATACACACACACAGTTACAGACAGTTTTACACTCACACTGTCACACATTATTACTTACAGACAGTGGGCTGAGGAGGACTGGATTCCCTGAAGCCTGTGGAGAGGCAGGGATTCCATTTTGCTGCACTTCCATGTGCAGCAGTGACAGTAGTAACCGGTAAGGGCCATATCAAGCCCCACCCCCGCTGCCGGTTTTGCTCCGCCCCCATTTTTTTATTAGCTACATCCCCAATTTACCTCCTTGCGGCCAGTTCAGCTTCTCTTAGTGTGTGAGCTGTTCTGGCCGCACGGCACCCTAACTGCCATGGGGCACTGTGCGGCCACAGCTCACACAGCCCCCTCCAGCTCCCACACCAGGGTCATGGCACCCCCCACCCTAGTGGCACCCGGGCCGGACCACCCCCTCTGCCCCCCCCCCTTGTCCGCCACTGCCCTGCACTCCAACCCTCTCTCAAATTGATAATTCTGGTGATCCTCCTGACAGCCATGCTTTAGATTTTGATGTATGTTCTTCCAAAGCTAAAATCAAAGATTCCATCTAGTGCTATTTTATGGCTCAGCTGTATTTTTTATTTTTAGGTATTTTATGTTATTTTAAGTGATTTCCCTATCCACATTTGTTTGCAGGGCACTTGTCCTACTCTTACCCCCATTTTACTTCATTTTGCAGCTCTCTAGCCCTTTCCAGGAGTTTTTTAGAGGCATTTTTGTGCCCAAAAGTTTGGGTCCCCATTGACTTCAGTGGGGTTTGGGTTCGGGGTCAAGTTTGAGCCCGAACCCGGACTTTTTTTCAAACTTCGTCCGAACCCGCCGGACCCGAACATCCAGGTGTCCGCTCAACTCTATACAGGATGATTATTCCTATCCCACATGTTTTTGTATTTGAGCATTGAGATATATATATATATATATATATATATATATACTGTCTAAATTTTTATGTATTCATTTTTAAATCAAGGTCCAGTTCATTTGCATTTTTATAGGATATTGTTTCTGTAATATGGATGTCCTATTTATACCACCATCTGCAGCATATTAGTTAGTAACTTAGACGGTTAAATAGACACGGGATTCAATAACTATTTAAACCCAGTGACCGTTTAGCATGAGAGCCTCTGACGAAGTGATGTATCAGTCACGAAATGCGTCAGGCTGGTCTTATTCACGGAGTACGATCCGGAGGAGAGCTGCAGTGGAACGCAGGAGCAGCATCACAGTGGAACGCTCGTGGTCATCTTAGACCGAATATCAACAAGTGTTTTGCCTCAAACTACATTTCAAGCCGGCTGAAAATTGAATGTGGATACTATATGCGCGCACCCACATGATTCGGGACTCCTATGTGTCTACTAATATGCTTTCTGTTCGGGATGTCCTATAAGTGTTTTAACTTTATACTATAATTAATAAAGGGAAAACAGTCTCTGTTTTTATTTCCCCTTTAGACTGAAGACATCCAGATTATCCTAGACCTATTACAGTGGTTAGATACCTTGCAGTATTTGAAGATTTTGTATCCACCATTACTAATGTGTCTGGTTTAGGTACTATATTACTGTCATGATCTTTAGCAGGTCAGATAGGAGACTTATGCCAGGGTTGACTTCAGGTAATTTATTAGTGATTTTAAACATATTATGAAACTTGAGGGAAAACAAAATTTAGGCAATATGCCACAAAACAGGATACTTGCCACAGAACAGGTTACTTGCAAATATTAAATAATGTATTTACTTTCCAGGTAGGGTTGTAACAAAGGCAGGTTGGTATCAAAGGCAGGCTGGTAACAGTGGAAAGCTGGTAACAGTGGAAGGCTGTTAACAGAGGAAGGCTGGTTACAGAGGCAGGTTGGTTACAGAGGCAGGCTGGTTTGAAGTATACGTAAGGGTGGAGCAGGTTATTGTTAGGAGCAGGTTTGAAGGTAAGTCTGGAGCAGGTTGGTAAGGAGCAGGTTTGAAGGTAAGTCTGAAGCAGGTTCACAGGAGCCAGGAAATAAAGTGTTTCAGGTAAATCACCAACTTCAATCTAAGGACCATGAGGTTAGTTGGGTGTAGCCTTTTGTAGCTGAAGTATTCAAAGAAAGGCAGGTGAGTATTCAGAACTAGAGGCAAGTGAGGCCACTAGTGGGAGTGTGACAGACCGCCTGACACCCCGACCGGGTACCTCCATCAATCGATGCTCCTAGTGCTCTCCGAGGGCTCCAAGCACTCCACCAGACACCATAAGCACTGTAGACTCATGGTCCAATGCCCAAAACAGTTCCAGAGAATTAGGGATAACGGTCGGTCTCTCTGTCTGGAGTAAAAAGTACATACTTCACAAGAACAGAGCCTTTTAAAGTGCATTGGATAAGGTATATTGCAGGGCCCATGGTCCTGATGCAATAGGCTGGCCAGCAGGCCCCTCCAAGAACCCTTGACGAGGTTCAGTTTGTCACAGGGCCATAATCACAGGGTAGGAGGCAGGCAAACAGGCCCTTCCAAAAGCCAGTGATGAGGTTACTTTTGTCACATATCTTCCCTCCCAAGGGGAGACTAACCAGATACCTGACTTCCTGTCCGTCGGTACCTGAGTTAGTCGAGCAACTCACCCACAACCAAGTACTTGACCTGTAGCTCTCGGGTGTCCAGCTTTGTCCTGTCTGTCCCATGCTGCAGAGGGGATGTCTGGTACTCCTGGTCTCTTGGTTGCTTTTCAGTTTGCAGTTGGGGACAAGGGGAGGGCACAGGCCAACTGCGCTTTGCCCTGTTGCCAGCACTTCTGCTGGGGTGGCCTGTAGGTATTTGGGCCCGGAACAAATGGAAAGAGGAGGGCAGAGGCCAGCTGCTCTCTGACCAGATGCCAGCTTTTCCGCTGGGTGGACTGGTACATGGTCCTGCCCTGTAACAAGGGGGCAGGTAGGGCAGAGGCCAGCATCGCTCTGCCCTGATGCCAGCTCTTCTGCTTGGATGCGGTCAGTGAATACTACCCCCAGGACCTGGTTGAGGCTCCGCTGTGGAGAAGAGGGATCATCTACCTCCTCCTTCTGGCATTTCAGTGGGGTTGGTTGGGGATCTGGACTAGCCATCCAGCATCCCTGTAGGTCTGGTGCAGAGACCACGGTCCCATCTGCACTATTGGGGTCAGGAGGACTGTCCCTCTGTAGTTGGGGCGAGGGACCAGCTGTCACCCCTTCTGTTATATTCAGCTGCCACTTTGGAGGGAGACCACCTGTCTCCACTCCCTTTGTTGCACACTGTAACTCACCCTGCCGCTGGGGAGAGAGGGCGATAGGCTCCTCTCCCTGTAATGCACACTGCTGCTGGGGAGTGAGACCGACCATCTCCACTCCCAATAACTTGCCCTGCTGCTGGGGAGAGAGACCATTTGTCTCCTCTCCCTGTAAGGTAAGCTGCCAC